CGGCCTTTTCGGGCTGTCCTCTGGCAGGCTCTCTACTATGGTAAGAAGAACAGGGCGATGGTCACTTCCCCCAAGCTGGGTTTCCACTTTTCTACTTAGATGTCTGTGCAAGTTTTCTGTGCAGAGTGCTATGTCTGGAGTCGTAGTTGAATGCCAAGCTCGAGAATAAAATGTGGGTTGATCTAAAGGATCATTTACAAGCAGAAGATGGTTTTCATCTTGCCAAGTCTCTATTTCTTCTCCTCTCCTGTCTAGTCTGTTATATCCCCAACTCTAGGACTGGCTGTTGAAATCTCCAGCGATGATAAAGTCTGTGTCTGGGACTTCTATGGTTTCTAGCAGAAGGTTTTTATCGTTTGGACATAATAGTTCACTAATTCTGAGTTGAGACCCATGTGATTTAAATAAGATGAAATTGGTTTTCAAAATCGTGATGTCACACCCTTTGGTGCAGAAAAGCAAGCATTAGACCAAATACTATAGCTAAAGATGTGCTTTTCCATGTTTGATTTTGACTGTCTTCTCTAGTGTTAATATGTCCTGGGTCATTCATTTTTTATTTGCTCTTTTAGCTTTCATATTGTTTTATCCAATGTGTATGTTGTGTGATTTGTGTGTGTTTAGAGACAGAGAGAATATCGTTGTGAGGCTATGGAGATTTTTGTTTATAATGTAACTACATGTACAAAGTCTTAGTCAAGTCTACTTCTGACAAACTCAACCAATAAAGCTATCCTCATATCGTTTTATCCAATGTGTATGTTGTGTGATTTGTGTGTGTGTAACATGCTAAGTATTAAATATATTTAGAGGCTATTCACACGTGTATATGCATGATGTGTGTGTGTGTGTGTGTGTGTCTCTCTCTCTCTCTCTCTCTCTCTCTCTCTCTCTCTCTCTCTCTCTCTCTCTCTCTCTCTCTCTCTCTCTCTTTCTCTCTTTCCCCTCTCTTTCTCTCTCTCTCTCTCTCTCTCTCTCTCTCTCTCTCTCTCTCTCTCTCTCTCTCTCTCTCTCTCTCTCTCTCTCTCTCTGTGTTTATGTATTTTTGTGTGTGATTGTAAGTGTGGTGTGTGTAAAAATAGTATTAAGGGTGGTTGGTCCTGGTGTGTTCTGCTCCTTCTTTTTCTCTTTTTCACTCTCTTATCTTTCTCTTCCTTCTTTTTGTGTTTTTCCCTCTCTTGTAACACTAACACCTCTAATCTTCGGCACTTATATAAACTTATTTTGTTGCAAGTGCTAACTCTTTTGAAAACAAAAGATAGTTTTAGGTATGAACAGGGCGCTCTGGCGGCAAGCGTACTGACATTCCATATGCCCGAAAAACCGATGCGAATTTCGGGTGCGAATTTCGCGTGCGAACTATTTTTTTCGCACCAACCTTTTTGTCATTGTGTAAATCCATATACCGGAATTTCGCATGGCCGAGTCCGAAATTCGCATGCGAAGATTTTGTTTCGCACAAGGGAGCGAAACTTTTTTCTTCGGCACCCGAATTCTTCGTGAAGTGGGCGGGACTAATTTCCCGCCAAATCTACTTCAAAGGAACGAAGGAGCATGGAAGCACTAGATAAAGGGGAAAACGTCGAAATGTTGATTTCCTTTGTTCGAGAGAGAAGTGTTAAAACTAAGACTGAAAAGAGGTGTTTATTTTCAAGGTGGCTGCCCTTTCCATGGCAACCACTTTTTTTTTTAAGTTTGTGGGAAACTTTCGGGAGTCTATGTAATCTATCTATGCTATCATTTATCGTTTAAATTATGTAATAACAAAAATAGCATTTCACTTCCCCCCACCCCCCTCCTTAAATGCACTTGAATATAACTTCTAACATACATTAATTATAACCTAAGATTGCCGTCTGTGCCGCCGCCACGTCAGCCAGCGCTTTTGGTGATAGGACCGTAGCTTCGAAAAGAAAACGACCCAAGAAAGCAAAGCTTATGAAGGAAGGACCATCATCAAGTCTGGACGAAGCAATTTAAAGCTGCTTTAGTAGGAACAGGAGTTCTAACAGCAAAATTATCTCGTTTTCAACGTAGAGTGCTTGCTCTGACTGAACTGGTGCCGTGATTTCAGTCAGAAAAGACGGATATGAATTTCGGGTATATGGAAGGAGGGCTCTTTTTTCATCGCACGCGAATTATTAAAAGTTCATTGATGTTATCCGACAAGTGATGAGTCATTCTTTATGACGACATCAAGTCAACCTCGTTAGCGTTTCCGTTTATACCTGAATCCTCCATTTTCATGTTCGTATATCCGCCGTCCGTTGCTTCGCCACCGCCGAAATACTGAGTGCCAAGGTGCGCTTGTCGCCGACTCCACAAACCGTGCCTTACCCTCCACAATGGTCAATGTCTCTTGCCCTGCACCTGGCTGCATGTATACAACGCCGGACGAGGGCCCCGCCGTGGTGTCTGCATTGCTGAACATACATGCCTTCTCCCATCAAAGTAAAACTGCAGCTTCCTCAAGAGGGCCGAAACTCAAGAGGATTGATATATTGGCGTCAACCAACAAACGTGAAATGCCTTTGGCCGGAGATGGGAAGCCTTCAGGAATGAATCTGCCATCAGCGACTCTTCCGCTGAAGTGCCTGCATATTATGAGCTGTGTTAAAAAAAACCGATTCGTTCTAATGCGTTCTGTATTATCTTGATTGTTTACCAAAAAGTTGTGTTGATGTGTAGAGCCTGGCATATGCCATATGGCAACTTTTGATTCCATTGACCAGCGCACATTTCATTACGTAGATCTACGTTAAGACTAGCGTAGCATTATAATAATGATCAGTTGCCAAGAGGGGAAAAAGATTGTGACGCGTTTGTATCTGCAATGTTCGACGCTCAGGCCGCAAGTGCCCCCTCCCCGACACGAACACACAGCCACACCCGACACGGACACACAACCACACATGTGCGGGCCGCCCATCCGACCCAGACGCTTACCAGAGTAGACACGTGCGCATGCCAACAACGCATGTGTGGTATATATGGTATGAAAAAAGGCCGCTGATTGGTCGAATGCAATCGCCTGAGTGAATAATGGTTCACGAATCAGGTGCAATGGATGGTTTCTTGGAAGAGATAAAGTTCGTTCTGGGAGCAAAATGGGCGAAGCCACACCTGCGGGGCTGTTCACCCTGGAAGCGACCTCGTTGAATCCGAGCTTTCTGATTTAAGTTCTCGTTGAATCCAGGTTATTTTTATTGATTTTAAAGAAGAAAAAAAAAACGGGGAAGCTATCTCATCTTGTTGCAACCGAGCTCGTTGAATCCGAATTCCACTGTAGTTGCATCCGGGTATGGGTGTCGGGTACCAAGGTTTTTTACTCCCCTTCATTGAATTTAAATCCTATGCAAATGCACTTTAATTACGTCCCTTCGTTCGAACCTTAATAAGTACTGGGTACTTACTGATACTTAGCTCTCTTAGCCTGGCAAACTTAGACCTAGGTCTAGTATTAGAGTTGGACCTGCAATGTTAACCCCCCCAAAAAAAGAGAAAGAAAGATACCTTTAGATCCTGATCCTGTAGTACTGGAGCAGGATTTATGAGTAGATTTGGGTGACAAAATGTAACTAAATTAGGCATTAGATCTCATGCAAGTCAGCTTAGTCAGACGAAATGGGCAACGGGAAAGGAGATCAATCAAAGCTGTGCAGTCTGTGGCATTCCATTGACTGAACCATGCTCTTTTTTATTTTTTTAGATTTCACTCTGAAATAACATTTTTTTCTGCTGTAGAAAACTTGAAGGATATGTACTTAGTTTGGTAGGAATTAATTTTGAATTTTGCCTTGGTGGCGGCCAAAGCCTACTCCTATCAATTTGGACCACCAATGGATCTTTAATATGCGCAATTTGCACACGGGACCTCCATGATTTTCCGCCTTTATCCGAGAAGGTTAGGTGTTAGATCTTACCTACCGTGAGGTCAGAGGTGTGACTGAAAGACAGCAGTAGGAAGAAGACAAGGAGTAGCATTCTGCAATAGAAAGGCTGCCCAGAACGTCAGGGATTTCAAGTTAATCATATTCTAACTTGGCATTCTGAAATATATATATATATATTCTAACCTGTGTAAGACGGCCACCTATTTTCAAGGAGAAAAGTTGCCGTATAAGACAAGTGGCCGTCTTAGGCAGGACTGATCAAGATGAAGAAAACAAACCATTCCTTTCTGAGGTTGCCGCATTGTTGTTGTTGTTGTTTTCACTGGGGATTTTTTTTCCCTTCTTTTTTTTTGCTGCTTTTGTGCAAGGGTGACAATAAAACAAAATGTGTCAGACAAGGAGGACCGAGTTTTGTGGTAAAACAAACACATGGGTCGCCACCACTCGGAGAACGAGCGACGCTTCTGTCACAAGTTCATGTTGAAGTCCATTGTTATTTTGTTACAGACTGGGTAAACAGTGACCACTCATTTCACTTACGATTTGTGTATGAGTTCTGGTCGGGGCTTATGGTTTTTAGGGATCACATGTTTACCTCACCAGCAGCTGAAAATTTGTTACCTATTGGTCAACAGTGGGAGGGGCCTACGCAACATGATCGGTTGAAGGGACTACCTAACAACAACAACAGGTGACTGGATTATGACGGCTCGCTCACAACGCCAGGGGTCAATGCACAATTTATGACAAAACGTAATGGAGTCACTAAGGTGGCCGTTAAAGACAGGTGTTATTGTTTAGTGTGAAAGGGGTTGTGTGTTAAAATATGGTGGCCGCGGCTGCCTTGGATGACAAGTGCCCATTTTACACAGTTAAATTATATTTTTAAAACGCAAAGGGGAAATGGAAAGTGGTCGTTTGTACAGGTGGCCATTTTATAGAGGTGGCCATCAGGGCAAGTTCGACTGTATGTATATATATATAGATAGATAGATAGATATATGTCATGTCTTATACCGAGGTAACATGATGTTCAAGTGATCAGCCAACATTTTGTATGAATGACAGCTTATAAATTCTTATTCATAAATTTTGTGTTTCTTGCAGGTCACAGCGTCTGAACGTATTGGCTGATAGCATGATGCCATCCCCTACTGTTCAGGGTGCTGTCTCTGAGTATGAGCACCTCAGCTATAAATACAGTAGATTTGGTCCTGAGAGAGACAGTATTTGGAATGAAGATGAGAAAGGGGACTTTATTCCTCTAAAGCCTCCGAAACACTCACTGCAAAGCAGTTCATCGTCTGTGCCTTCAATGACAACCGACAGAAACTTCAATAACCCCAACACCAATTTGGCCTCAAGCTCTTTAAAGTCATATATTCCGGCAGATGATGAGACTCTCTCTGCTAAAGGTGTCCCTTCACCTCTGGCATGGAGCCCAGGCATGTTGGCAGGTCCTTCCATATTCCTCACACCAGAAAAATCTTTGGGTCAGGACTGGTCTTCCAAATCTAGTAAGGAGAACATTCTAGAACCACATGATACAAATCAAATCCCTGTTCCAATGGCATGGAGTCCAGGAATGAATGTTAAACTAAATCCATCACTGTTTGTGACCCCAGAAAAGCCTTTGCCTAAATATCTCAGTGTTGTGAAAGACAATTTTGCTCTAGATTCAGCTGAAATAAAAGAGAATTTGGAAGACCAGACTAGTGATTTAAAGACTAAGGGAAAGCACTCTGTACGTTTTGATCTTCCCTCTGCTTCCTCGGGTGATGAGACTAGTGATTCTGTTGATTTTGCAAATATGAAATCGCCCATCACTTTGAAAGGACGGGAACTAAGTAGTAGTTCAAATTTTGAATCTCCCAGTAGTGGATCCCCTCAGTGGAAGCCGCTGAGCCCTCCCAAAAGCTATGACCCTAATGCCTATTCTGATGAGTCAGTGCTGGAAGACTCTCTAGCTTTGCACGGTCCACAAACATACAAGTCTAGTGAGATGAGTTTACCCAGTCTTTTAACTTTCGCATCTACCTCTAAAACAGCTTCCCTTACCATCAGTCCTTCTGACGGGGATTCTGGCATTTCCATAGAGCCTGGTACTCTCCAAAAAGAAGGAAAGTCCCTTTCCAACAGAAAAACTAATCGGAAGACTATTATAAAGACGAAACCTTCCGCTGACTCATGTACTAGGAAGTCAATAATTAATTCACAATCAGATCTACCTGGCAATTTTGTAGTTCTCGACAATCTAAAGACAAGGAAGAAGAAAAAACAAGCTGGACCACAGTTTTTGAAATCTGCTCTTTCACAGTATGACAAGAACCCACCGAAACCTTTCATCATTCGCGAAAGCAAAAACAAACATGTGGAAGCAGAATATTCGTATCCTTTCGATGGAGGTAAAGATGTTGGGGATTCAGAGTTTGAACATGCATTTGCACGGCCTGAGTTTAATTCTACTTTGCGAGTCAGGTCTGAGCTGGATGATCTCTGCGAACAGGAAGTGGATGTGCAGGCAGCTGTGTTGGACACTCTTGCCAAATCAGAGCTGAAGAGAACAGAGATGAATGAAAAGGTGTGTAGTCTCTCTCTCTCTCTCTCTCTCTCTCTCTCTCTCTCTCTCTCTCTCTCTCT